TCGCCATGCAAGAGAAAGAAAATATTAAAAAAAGTCACGTCAGCATTTTCTGTTAATCAAGTTGGACGGAGTTAATGGAAGACTCGATTGCACCAATTTGACAAATTTTAGGACTCAATTGTACTTTCGTAACAAGTTTTAATACTTTGAGTCAACTTATCACTTTCTTTTTTTCTTTTCTCTGTTTTTTTTTTTTACTATTAAGGGCTGGCCCAAAAATTTCAAAAAAATTACAAAATTTGTTCGCGTCAATGTGGGTCATGCCACGTTGGACGGCCGGCGTCCTCGTCATCAATATCCGGCTAAAATTGATACGAAGGTTTATATTGACAAATCATTAAAAAATTTATAACTAAACTGGTATAATTAAAAGGTTCAGAACTGAATTGGTCGCCGTACAATAGGTTTAAGATTTTTTGGACAATTTCTCTCGGCTAGATGGTGGGCAACGTCTTGGCCGCGTCTCTCTTCTTCTTTCTTTTATTGGAGGTGGGATCGATCTCAAACTTAAAGGCGAAATGGATCAACGTTAATCGTCCAAAGAGGGGTTCTTTTGACTGACGGATGGGGGCCATATTTGGTGTCGAGGCACGATGGATCACCATCGCTGAGCAGCAAAACGACAACAGATTTGGCGCTGCGCATTAGAGGGAGGCTTGAAAACGAGAGAGGTCGAAAGGTGACGCCCAATGTCACTTCGGCCTACCCGTGATGCATTGCCTCTTTTGTTTTGCACGGTGAGGATGACTTCACTTTATTTGAGTGGAGCCTTCTCGATATTATCATGTCTTCTTCTATTTGGTATTTGATGCTTTGCCATTTTGATGTTGCTAAGGGGACCATCGCAGATCATTTTTTTTTTCTCACAAAAGTATGAATCTTCATGGTTGGCGCAGCTAATCGAAACGTTAAAGAAATTTTTTCAATTCAGAAAATGGATGCGACCTATTTGATTTTCCACGAATTGCATGCAAACTCTTTTAGGGTAGAATCCAATCGCAAGGTGAAAAGTTTGAAAGTAACCGGTTCATAATTTGCAGTGTGATTTATGAACTTTCGGGTTGTTTTGTGTTTGTGCCCCCAAAGTATTGAAAAGACAGAAAAGGATTAATGGAGGACAGATAATCGACGAGAAAGGTGCATCGAAAGTAGTGCTACGTTTGGCTTTTCATAGTGCGATTTAAGCCTTTCAATTGGTACGATAGCTTTTCCAACCATTTGTTAAAAAAGTCAATTAATTTCTTGTAGCAAATATCGGCACGACGTTGGAAATAGTCCAAACGGCACCCAAATAAGATGCCCTAGGAAAAATCAGGAAACTTTAATAAGGAAGAACTTGATTGCACTTGTTTCAAAGACTCTGAGGTCTTAATTACAAAGATTGAAAGATTTTTGTGCTATATGGAATTTCTTCAGGAAGACTTACTTCGATTTTATTGATAATTTCCAACGGGCGTGAATGCTCAAAACCGGATCAAGTGATTTCTCTAACAAAATCTTTTGTGTTTGCTCAAGATCACCTCCGCTTTTCTTTGCTAAGCATACTAATGATGTCTAAATTGCAATGTTAACAATGGTAGGTGTTGACACTAAAAAAAAAATAACCTATATGGGCCGCCGCGAACTGACAAAGCCCAAAAAGTAAATGTTGTCGGCCCAGGGTTAGTTCATAGATAAGAACAATCACAGTTACTGATAGTTTATGATAACTCTCGATTCAAAAATTAGGATGACAAATAAAGACAGACATTCAAAACCTTAAATCACAATGTGGATAACAGTACAGTTACCAAGCCATATCCTGAAGGCTTTGGAAACACTTTTAAATTTTTTTAAAAGATAACTGCTGCGACGGTTATTTGTTCTATCTGGCTATAATTAGCCGACAAAAGAATGTCGTAAAGAATCCACAATGAATCAATCAAAAACACAACTATTCAATTTCGCAAGTTATCTTTCGCATTCGTACTTACTTTTATTTGCACTCGTTGTTTACTTTATCTTCAGTTTCATTTAGTTAGAATCGAACTCTTCCTTTCCAAACCGACACAGAACCCAATTCACTCTAAAAACCGAAGGGCCAACTTTGGTGAAAGATATTTTGTCGAAGGACGTTCTTCGGCAAAACACTGGGAAACGCGTAAAGCAACGAAATATCTATCCCTTTTATACATAACTCAAACAGTCTGTGTTACGTAATTTTTCGTATGACTAACACCCTTGGGGAATTGCAATTCGTGTTAATCCCTCTCTAAAATCTAAACATTTTCAGCAGGCGTCTGCTTAATTACTCTCAAATTGGGAGTAATTGTGGAAAAGGGCGGTCTAATTGAAGGGTCTTGGTCCCAAGAGAGGCATATGAGTTGGACAAGCTCTTCAAGTTGGCCATTTTCGTCCTCCGGAAGCGCGAACCTGGGCTTGCCTTCCGCTACTTCCACTGCAATCTGTTTGCATAAGACAATGTAAAAAGTCGATGAATGTTCAGTAGCATTTTAATCATAGACAATAGCTACATTGAAATTGGGGAAATTTTAAGAACCCATTGAAAGATGAAATGTAGTACCTGGGCAGGGCCGAAATCGGTCTCGATGTAAGGGTATTAGCTGGTGACGAGCTCGTTGAGTATGACCTCGAAGCTGTACTCGTCGCACTGCTCACGCCTCTACTGCTATTTCATAAAGGGCTACTCGCTCTTGGAGTAAGGGCACTAGGGTTAGGCAAGAAAGGAAGGGCCTTTTTTGGGTACGGGGCCCATTCTCCCTTATGGGCCTAGCAAGTTTTTTCCCCATCTTCTGACCCAACTTAATCCCATCTCAAGTCTTCTAGGGGTAACGATAGTCTGACAAGCCCTTATTTGCCTTTCCACAGCCACGACCATTGAAGGATGAGCGCTGATCATTCGAAGATTGATAAGCAATAAAGAAAGCCTTGGTATCGGTAGATGAATGCAATTGATGAAACCTTTGCGAATGCTACAATAGCTTCCCCTTGAAGTCATCAAAGCGAATATTGGTTGTGCTATTAGTGATTGTGGTGATGAAAGCGGTGGTAATCTGGATGAGGCATAAATAACCAGATCCTTGTGTGAGACTGGAGAATTGATTGCAATGAGAGCTGACTTGAGTGTGCGTACATAAGTATGTGGCCATGGGCTGATTGCCATTTTTTAAGGTCTGAAGTTGAAGCTTTCGAGCCACAGACTTATCAAGAAATCGCTTTTCTTTTCGTAAGGCCACCCAAGCATTTCGTGCAGTTGGTAGATCATGCACTTCCTGTAGAATATCCCACCTCGTTGTAAGGCTCGCACTGTATCGCTTCCGGCGCCATGTACACATTAGTCCCTGAGAAATATTCGGGAACTGACTTCTGTTGTCCAGAAACCCTTCAAGTTCCCTGAAAATGGTGTGGAGTGATGTGCCAAGAAAGTTAACAACAGGGGCCTCTGTGCCGTTGCTCAGGCGGAGTCTCTGCGAGACAAGCTCGTGGGAGGCCTGGCTGTTCTGAGGTGCATGACGCAGCTCTAAAGGGCACACCACTTAGCCATTTTTTACTTCGTCGTCCTCTGAGAATCATTTGGGAAGATTCGTTGATGCTTTACCATTTGGTGAGAATTAAATTTGTTGACTATTATGTAGGGCTTGCTATGGTGTTCTGAGATTTGTGATGGAGAGCGGTGCCAAGGGATGTGAGGTATTGTTTTATGACGGAAATGATCGTGTTATTCTCTGTTTTTGCCTTCCCCTCCATTTTTCTCGGTACTAAAGCTTCAGGAAGTTCTGAGATTCGGGTGCTCGTGCAGGTCATTGTGAGCGGGAAGCTACGTGCTCAACGTGCTAAATCGATGAAGTTCAACCTGTCAACGAGTATATTGACTCTGCTGCCAGGCATGTTCTTCTAAGACAGGCGAGACGTCCTTCTTCAAATCCGCAACATACCCTTCCTCACTGTTTTTTCTTAAGAATCATGTGCAAGTTGGTAATTGCTCCATCTTGCCTAGGCTAGCACCTGGTGAAATCTTAATCCTTTTTCTTTTGAATGGATCAGGGCGTGCTTGGCATCAAGGTCAAGATCATGCTTGACTGGTATCCCAAGGGCAAGCAAGGACCAACGACTCCATTGCCTGATCTGGTGACTATCCATCCCCCGAAGGAAGAGGAATATATTCCACCGGTGCTGACCACCAACATTGAGATCCCAGTAGCTTAATCGGCAGTTCTGATCATGTCATTACCTCGGCATGATGTTTTGTTCTTACAGTACTGTATGCCTCAATGTAACTTTCTCATAGTTCACGCTACCGCTTAGTTCTCCTAGATTATGCTACCAATTTTAATGGAGATTTCTGCTTTACATAATCTGGCCGGAAGATGTTTTCAGCTGTTATCCAAAATAATGAAGAGTCACCTAGTAAGTAGTACTTGCCCTTGTTGATGACAAAATTTCAAAACCATCGTTTGCTCATAATTCCACTGTGGAGGCTTGCGGTATCAAATCTTGGATTCCTAGAAGAGAAGAAGATTGTTCGTAACCTAGGACCTTCAAAATAACACCGAGAAAAAGAAACATGATCTCTTCTGTGCATACCTCTACTGTACGCAGCATTGTTGTCACCTTTTGGCATATTCAATGTTTTTCTTTCCCCTTATTTGAGCGCAGACAAGATACTTACATATTTGAAACGAGCCGATCGCAATTGATTGCATATTGCATAGAAGAGAGCTTGCGTAACTTCACAGATTTACATAGACAGTGCTCATGCCTTGCGCCTGCTTCAGCCGAATTACCGGATCGGCACAATGCCTGTGATCATCGATAATGCAGCCTAACATCATAACCTCCAATTTCTATCGTCCACATGCACAGACAAACAGGGTTTTTAGCCGGAACCAGAACTTTTCCGAGTGCATGCACACGTAAAGGCACATCTGAGCGGGCATTCACGGGCAAACATACATTTGAAATGCAGTTATTCCATCGCAGCTTTTGGTAGATTACACATATTTGGCTGAGCAATAACTCATACTTGAGGTAAATAAGAGGTAGATTACATTCACTGACATCGTTCGTACCTGCCAGCCTTAATGTTTCAAAATCTAACCACGACCGATTCACCAAGCCAAAATATCAAAAAACCTATCGCTAAACATCCAAAGGATGAACAAGTTTTAGGTATGCTTTGCAATCCCCAGTCATCGCGTATCAATTGGTCTATTGATAGTCTTGACACGCCTCGCATGCCTGAGGCAATACGACCGTCTTCCGTAGGCCTCGCTCCATTGCTACGTGAAAAGAACAATTACGTAAGCCCAATCTATGGAAAAAACTAGTCATCTCATTAACCAGCAAGCGGACGAAGATTTTGCCAGATTGTCAGAGACTTCAACAGCCAAACGCAATCATCGCCTGCCCTTCACGCCTGTTTCTTATTCTCACTCTGGCACAGATGGACCTCTTGAGGAAGGAGATTATATCTAATATTCAAGTCGTCGAAAATTCTTTTCAACTCGATGACTAGTTCAGTCCTCCGCCTGCCCTTCTCTGCGTAATCTTGGAAGTTCATCGTGTGATTGACGTAGAGCCCGATCTTAATCTTGTTCACATTCTCGATCTCACTCACCATCACATTGTGGTTCGGGTGCCAATGTTGCGGATTTTTCTCCAAGTACCTGACAAGAATAATTAAAAGAAATGGCTTTAGGAAATCTTTCATACAGTCCCGCAGCGAAAAAGTATCTATCGGCCATAACATTGGTAATAAGAAATGAAGGAAATCATAGCGACTCCATCAACTTACTTTCTTATTTTCTCTTTCATTGCTCCGATTCTTTCCAATGGAGTCATGAAATCAATCGAGAACTCCACTTTGTCACCCATGTCAGGGCTTCTGTGGTAATTACTTATAGGTTTCGTAGCCAAAACCGAATTTGGATAGTAGATTTTTTCATTATCGAGCTTCAAGAAGACAGTGTTCAAGATATTCATCTCCTCCACCATCAACTGTCATGAGAAATATGAATTGCTATAAGTTGAACTCATCTCAACATAAAAGTGGAATGGGTTCTCTTGGGAGTTACCTGAACACCATCAATAACGCATCGATCGCCAACATCAAATGGATGCATAATGAATACAAAGATGATAGCCTCAAATATTGTCTTGCATGTGTTGCCAAAGATGAAAGCCGCGACAACAAACTGTGAAGAAAGCAGGACTAGTACTTTGGTCGTAGCAATTTCCATCAAAAGAAGCCATATGATGATGGGAATAACGATCAATATTCCTGTCACAAGCTTGTTCAATTGCTTTACTGCTGTTTTCGTGTCAGTTAAAGCATGTATCAGCGCTTTACGGCCTTGATAAACCTTCACCTGCAAAAGGATTGTATCTCATACTGAAATCTCCTTTCACTTCTCGGCAAATTCACATACTAAAGGACGGATCACTAGAATGAAGAGGAAGAGTGTGGAGCCACAATGCATGTTAACTGCTCTTTACATCAAAAAAGGCAGCAAGACAAAGTTACAATGAATTAAACATAAATGGACTGACCACCCAGTTTGTCAAAGATTTAATGTCGATTCGTCCAGTTTCTGCTCCTTCAAGCAATGGGAAGACAAGATCCACCTCTTCCTTGATCATGAATCTTTGAAGATCGTCTTCATCGAAGTACCTGCACAAAATACAATATGGTTACCAAAAGACCAAACAATCAGTTAATCTGCTGAACCGTTTCATTTTCTCACTTGCAACCCGCCACAGCGACGTTTCTGAAAATGTGATATGCAGCGGCCATCGCTTCCATCTCGCTCGTTATCTCCTTATCCGCTTGCTCAGCTCCTCCATCATCGGCGCTCTCATCCAACGTATTCGATAGGGTAGACAGGCCCGAACTTGTCACTGCATCGACCAACATCTTCATCGTCCAAGCCGAAACCTTTTCTTGCTTCATCTTATGAATCTTCCCCATATCAATCACCTTCTTCTCCTTTCCCATTTTACCTTTCTTCATAGTTCTGAAACTAAAGTGGCCAACACTAGGTTCTCTCCCCACCCTCTCACCCTCCTCTATAAGAGGCTGCCCGGATAAGGTTTGCAAAACGTAGTGATGGAAGATCGATTCTTGAATTCGATCGAAGAATGTAGTAACATGGAAACTCGATGCTAATATCTTCAGCAGTAAAGTCTTTAAGAACCATAGAAATGAACCGATAAGAATCGAGACGAGAGTCCAGGTTATGCAATCCAAAACCTTATTGGCAATCTTTGACCTCCTGACGCCTCGATTGAATAACAGTACCCACGTGAGAAGAACGAAGGCCAACCAAGTGAAAACTTGAACACTCTTCTTCAAACCATGAACGAAGTAGAGTACCTTTTTCCGAAGTAAAAATTTCCTCTCAATCAAGAAAACTACGAAATGCATCACCCAATTGGTAACCAACATGCCAGAGAATAGCACCATTACAAGTACACACCACTTCCACATCTCTAAACCCCATAGCTTAGATGCTTCCAATTGATCAACCGTTAAACTAGCCACCAAGCACCCGAGAATGAGAAAAAACACGGTCCATTCAACCAAAGCCTTGGTCTTTATCCTCTTATGCTTTGCTTTGCTCAATTCAAGAGTGACTTTTTTGTAGATCTCTTCGTCATCCTCCTCTTCACCTCCTCCTCCAGCTGGTCCTGGAGATGCCATGAATGGTGTCTTCGGAGTGACGGGAACATTCCAGGCTGAATGCGTTGATCTGTTATTGGGCGATCCCCGATTAAATGATTCTTGCAACAATGCATTGCGCTCTTCTTCAAACATACTGGCATCAAAAGGACACGGTTGCTCCCCAAACCTTGACTTCGGTTTCGAGTACACCGACCTGCTGAGAGTCCTTTTCCTAACAAGAGCTTCGTTAGCATTGGGAGGTTTAGGCGGCTTATTCCGGCTAGGGCTGAGACTGGCAATTTCGGGAGACCGGCAGCTCATTGGAGCTGATTTTGCGACACCGGCGCTCGATTCACTCGATGCCTTGCAGGGAGAATCCACCTGGGTTTGTTTTGGAGCGGCAGTTTCCAACCCCTTGGAAGACGACGACCCTTTTAGGCCCTTGCCCTCAGTCACAGCTTTTGCTTCCTCTTCAGTCGAGATGGTCACAATTACTTCATTTCCATTGACATTCCTTTCCTCCGACATGGTGATTTCGCTGCCTTTTAGAAGTTCTCCTCTAGAATCCATTCATGATTCAGGACACGTTCCAAAAGTTCAAAACTTCACCGCTTACAAGGCTTCAGTTCAAGTTCAGACTCTGGACAGCACATGAGTAAACCAAAAGAGAGAATTCAAGTGCAGATCTACTTCTACTGAACTGCGTACGCACAGACAGCAGCAGGCCAACACAATATGCATGATATAGACTGAGCTCGTGGACCGACTCTAAGCAGTCGAGTCAGAGTAAAAGTTTAGCCCTTTCCAACAAATTCAACTTCTAATCAATCATCAACAGCTCAGGACACACAAAGTAAGAGGCACAGATTATGCAGCAGACGATTCTCGATCAAGAAACGGAACAGTACAGCGATCTGGCGGATGCTCAAAGTGGGTCAGGTCAAACTGAAAATCGAAAAAAGAGATCAAGAAAACCCGTGTACCTCAACAAAGACTACCGCGGGCTTGCCAGTGTTACTCCGTTGAGCTCACTTCGCCAAGAACAGAGCAAGAAGCTAACACCCAAAAGAGACTGAGCAGCATCAGTGGCTGCTGGAGAGCTGATCTAAGTGAGACAAAACCCTTGTACCTTGTTAATTAAACTCTTGTTCAGACAGTGCTAGAACTCATGATGGAGCGTATTTAAAATGATAAACATCAACCATGCACGGCTTTCCAAGAACAGCATTCATTATAAAAACCAAAAACAAAGAACAGCAAAAATGGTCTGTGATGGAAAAGGCGGCGAGGGTGACACAGCTTGACCTTTTAAGTCTATCATTCTTATATATATATATATTGGAAAGAAATTTTCCTTTTCTTTTCTGCAGCAAATAAATTAACGAGAAATTTCTAAATCAGTACTTGAAATGCTCTCGTTTTCTCAAATAAGAATATGAAATGAATTTTATTTCATATAAGGACCTAAAGTGCCATTATCTTCTTAAAAAAGGGCTTGAAATGAATCTTGTTTCGAATAATTATTTTCTCAAAGAAGGGTCTAACTCCACCAACTAATCAACAATTGTATCCAAGTGGTTACGGATAGAATTGAAGATTTTTCATGCTGTCGAGTATCTCTTGGTTTGAGATCGGATTGCCATCCAAGCCCTTTGTTAAACTTTCCTAACTTGGGTGATTTTTAAAATCTTGCGGAAACGCATAATCACTCCAAAGATAACAAAAATTCAACGAAATAGGCAATAAATCTAAAAGATCAAATTAGAAGATAATCTTAACTAATTTGCGGATAACTTTCGAAATTCAAAACAACTACGGATCGGGCTTGCAGATCTCGATGGTGGCTAGCAGTAGCGGCTCGGCCGTCAGGCTGCTCGAGGCAGGCTGATGAGATGGTGTGGACATTTCGGCTTGGGCTAGTAAGTGAAAGAGAGGTCATCGGCGTCTAGTTGTCTTCGATGATTACTCGTCCGATGACCAACGATGAACAGCCTCGGGAAAAGACCTGCAAAAGCAAAAACTTTCACGCCGTGGAGAGGCGGTCTGCAGTACTCGGCTGGCTATGGGCGACGACGGTCTTCGCGGGTGGGACTGAGCTAAGGTGAGTCGACATTAGATATTCTGTAAATAAGAAACACCAAAACAACGATGGTTTGAACCAATGCAATCTGGATGTCGGGGAGGCCGTAGAGCAGGAAAGGGCAGAGACGCGTGGAAGCGGCAGCACAAGGCACGAACGAGAACTGCAAGAAAAGAAACCACCACTCTTTTTCTTCCTCGATTCTCACTGAAGTGGGCGTGCGTTCTTTCGAGTGTAAGCTTTGTCGATAGCTTGTCTGTCTTTTTCTATGGTTCCAGAGAGAAGTCTCCCTTTTCTCAATTGTCAATGTCCGTCTCCTCAAAGCTTCAACTACTCTCCCTTGTCTTTTTGTGACCGTCTTCTTCAAGAACCCCTCTCACGATTTTCTTTTTTTTACTTTTCTCTCTGCAGGGTCCTCTCTAGGAATTGTGGCCGTGTGTTCAATGTGTGGCCTCCTTCTTTATGAAAGGACGAGCGGATAGCGTGAATTGATTTTGACCGGTTTTCTGTTTGTTTGATTTTGTTTCCTTTAAAATATTAGTTAGAGTTTAAATTAAAAATTTTGCATATTTAGAAGATAAGATAATTGCTTAATTTAAATTGGGATTTAGGATAGTTTATTTCCTAGTTTAAAATAGGGGTAATTCTAGAGTGTCTTTCTAGAATAGGTTGCCTATTATTTTAGGCGTTTTTTATTATCCCAATATTGACACCTAAATTTTGGCGTCCCATTTAGGAATAATTGTATAGAAAAATTAGGGACTAAACTTTAGCCCCTAACAAAAATATTAAAATTGCATTGTATAGCATATAGATATTAGGAGCGTTTGCATTTAGCTGGCATTCTGATTGGACCGGCGGTGGATGAACTTAAGTGAAAGGTTATGTGATTAATTGAATTAACTGAGTGAGCCCAAGAACTTAAAATTTGGCCCAAGCTCACTTATTATATTAGTGGTCGAAATTTGGGAGTGCCGAGATGGAAAATTGGTTTATTTAAATTAAACTTGGGAAGGCAATTTTGGTCCCATGACAAAAAAGGAAGAGATAAGCATTAGTCTTCATAATATTCGCTCTTTACTCAGCCATTTGAAGGAATAAATAGTGTGGACAAGATTTGGCCGAGAATGAAGATATTTGCTTATCTGCAAGAGGAAAGAAAAGATTTGTTTTAACCTTGAAAGTTCATCTTCCTCACATATAAAAGGGAGACTCTGACATTGACAAGGAGGAGGCTACACAGAATAGAATACACGGCCACGAGAGAGAGAGAGAGAGAGAGAGCGACATTGAGAGGGGAGGGAAAACTCGATCTTAGAGGGGGCAAGCTCCTGCCGCCGTTCACTTCCTAGCCCACACCGCCGCTCGTCACGGCAGCACCGCCACGTGCAACCGCACATCCCCAAGCTTCCACTCTGTATTGCTCTCCGCGTTTGGTCTCTTCACGTCCATAAACAACAATACCTGCGGTCTCTCTCTCCGTAAGAGGAGATCACGGCTGAAGTCGGTTAAAATTGCTCTGCCGCTTAGACCTTGAGGATGCTTGACACAACAATTCCAGCGATCACTCTCATGAGTGCCAAGAGTAACAATTGATACAAGAAGACAAGACAGAAGAGCACTCGGTGAAGATTTGCTCTATTGCAAAAGGAGACAAACCGAGGTGGAATTGGGAGCCTAAAAGAAAAGACAAAAGTAGAAATCTTGGTGGCTGGGGGATAAGGTAAAAGTGCCAAAAACGGTCGTAAACCTTTTTGCATTTATGTTAATTTAGTTCTAAACCTTTTTTTGATGCCAAAAAAGTCACAAACCTTTTGCATTTGTGCCAATTGAGTTCTAAACCTTTTTTTGGTGCAAATTCAGTCCTAAACCTTTTGCATTGGTACCAATTCAGTCATAAACATTTTGCATTTGTGCCAATTTAGTTCTAAATCTTTTTTTGTGCTAATTCAGTCCTAAAAAATTTACATTTGTGTCAATTCAGTCCTCGCATGTGGCTGGGCGAGGCTCGAGCCCTTGCCGGAGGCCGCGAGGTCGAAGGCCTCTGGCAAGGGGTTGAGCCTCGCCCAGCCATGGCGAGGCTCGCCCTCATTGGATCTGGCAAGGTCAAGCCTTGTTGGCGGTTGGGCGAGGCACACCTTGCCAGATTTGGCGAGGTCCAGCCTTGCCGGCCTCTGGCCTCTGGCCGGTCGCCGGTTTGGCGATCGGCTGGAGGAAAGAGGGAGGGGAAAAAAATAAAAAATAAAAAATTTCAAAAAAATTTCAATAAAATATTAAAATATTATTAAAGTTGTCCACATCAGTGCCGGTGACCAGCTGCCGGTCGACCGGTATCCACGTCAGCAAAATTCTGCCAAAATTGATCGAAAAGACTGAATTGGCATAAAAAAAAAGGTTTAAGACTGAATTGGCATCAATGCAAAAAGGTTTGGAACTGAATTAGCACCAAAAAAAAGGTTTAGGACTAAATTGGCACCAATGCAAAAGATTTAGGACTGAATTGATATAAAAAAAGGGTTTAAAACTAAATTGGTACCAATGTAAAAAATTTAGGATTTTTTTGACACTTTTTCTGAAAGGATTATTCACGGAGGCACTCACTCCTACATCACGAGAAAAGCACACGGGGAAGATTCTTCTCTCTGAGCAAATCAAGACTTATACATATTTTTTCTCACTTTTGTTTATTCCTCACGATCTCTGACGAATGGTCTCATGAATTGTCCATATCACCACTTTGACTTGTTCTACATTTAGACACGCTCAATACGTATACGTGCGGGATACATGATACAAAGGGCAGCGAAAGTTTTATTCTTGAAGTCCTCGAAGCCGAGTTCCCTCTCTGCCATCACGACGAGCACCACCGCGAGCCGTCCAGCAAACCTTGACCATGTGTCCCTTGGCCGAGGCACCATCCGTGAGTCGCACCTTGCCGTGAACCGCCGGTCACCCGTCTTCGCGACCTCGAGCTGATTCTGTTGAAGTTCAAATTTAGCAACATTATCCACAAGATTAGGTAAAATCTCATCCGAATTTGATTTGGATAATTTATTGCCTAATATATGTTTATCAATATCTAACGTGCATATTTTGAGTGATAGGCATATATTGATTAGGATTTATCTCCTAATCCGCAATGCAATGTAATCTTTTGATTCTATCTATAAGCTTTTAGATGGAATTATTAGATTGTGCGGTTAGAAAATTAATCTTGATCTTTGAGCCCTAAGATTAGGATATTGATTCTATATTTGCTAAAATATCAAGTTGAGATAATGTTTCCAATTTTGAATTGTCGATATTTTTGGCGAATGATATTTTTCTTATCTTTGATTTTTTCCTTATCTATAAAAATTACAAAAAATCACATGTCATATAGATTAGTCTTAATTTTAAAATAAAAGGAAACCCAAAAAATATTAGATTGTTTCGGTGTGTTTATTTGCTTTACTTCCTTGCAACTTATTTGCTTGCTTTGTTAATTGATTGTTATTTTTAATGGTTACGCACCCGCATGATCACTCCTTGCATGTTAATACCCTAGATTAAAACTAATACAAGCTGCCTGCATAAATGTTTTCCAGAAAATGAAATGGTCGTTAGGATAATCTAGCGTAATCAAGTCCCTAAATTCATTGAATCTCTAGTTCATAGGAGTAAAGTATTATGTTAGTGAATATGTAATAAAATGGATCCAGGCTGCCTGCTCAAACATTTTTTTTTTTAAAGAAAAGGTACCGAAATGGCATTAGACTAGCTCTAGCATAATTAAGTCCTCGAATTCAAAATTTCTGGTTCGTAGGAATAAAACATATATCCCTATATTTTATTTGGGTTACTAATCAACCTACCGCAAAATAGATTAGTGGCGACTCTAGCATGAAAATATTTTCATGTTAATAATTTAAATCCTGAGTCGCAAATTGGTGGGGTTTGGGAGAGCCCAAATTAAGTTTAGACTTAATAATTCATTAGCCGAACCCATAAGTGATGCACCCCGAGAAGGTTAGGTCGCGAAATAGTCTAACTAAATTTATTAATTGATTTAGAAGTACCCCACGGCTTGCTTACTCCACTATGAGCAGTTTCGACCGATAAGCATATTTGTCCCACGGCTTGCTTACTCCACTATGAGGAGTTTGGACCGATAAGCATATTTGTCATACTCTTCGTGTATTGAAGTATTTA